GTTCCTGCCCTCGGTCAGCTTTGACGACTTCCACGCCAGCATCTCGGCCTACGAGCCCAACTTGAGCGACTTCCCAGCGCCGGGGGGAGGAGGGGTTGGCATTCTTCCGGCAGCGACGGCGCCTGCCACGAGCGCCGTCCCGCGCACGAACATGGGGTCAGATGTCTTCACGCCAGGAACGGGCACCGAGACACGCCCGGCCCGCAGTTCGTCCCTGATGCGCCGATTCAGCCAGTCGAGGAAGCCGACCCACGCGGCCGCTGTGAACCCTCCACCCGCGTCCGAAACGTCGTCCATGCCACCCCCTCCCGCCACCATGTCTATCCGAACTCGCCGCCAGAGCCAGTTTCCCTCGCAACCGCCCGCGAACCCGGCCCTGCGAGCCCCCCGCAAGTCTGTAGGACCTGGCACGCTGCCCGCCGGCCTGGACACCCGCGATGCTGGCAGCGAAGTCCCGAAGGTAAACAACGACGCTCCCCGAGGCCGCATTGGTCGTACGCCTTCTCTCAACCACGGCAACCGCCGCGGCACGCTCTCGAATAATCCCAACCCCGGAGGAGAGGTGCCGCGAATGCCGAATGCCACACGCTCCGCAAAGGCCAAGTCGATGCAAGCGCCTTCAAAGCAACAAAACTTTCTGAGTGCGTCGTCAATGACTCCCGACCACGCCGCAGCCCTCTCGACCAATCACGGGCGTTCCCCAGGTCGGTCTCCAGGACAACGGACCCAGACACCTTCATCTTCAACGAGCAAGCGGCAGTCGACCATGCCACATGCGAGCGGGTTGGGGGCAAGGACCATAAGCCCGACGGATGCGCGGCGGTTGAAAAGGCTTTCGATGAACCCAAACCCCCCGGGTGCTCCCATCAGCCCGCCTACACCACAAGCCGACTTTAGCTTCGATGACCGAGCTCTGGAGCAATCGCCCGCATTGATTTTCAGAAAGAGCGTGACACCATCTTCTGCTCGAGAGACTCCGGACCAAAATCGTAAGTCCTACGCTTCCGGAATTTCGCTGTCGTCGAATTCAAGTCTCAGCTCCCTGCGACTGGGCAACTCGGCCCTTCAACTCCGCACCCCTGCGTTATCGGGTTCCCGTCTACCTACGCCGAAACCTAGGAGCGTACATAGTTCGGCAGGTGGTGAGGAAGAAGAGGTTCCCCCGGTGCCCGCTATTCCGAAGGCGTATGAGTCTCCCAAGGAGCCTGAGCACAGTACTTTCTCGTTCTCTACCTCGGCATTGAAGGCGTCTGTCGCCCAGTGTGCACGCCCAGACCCACTCGAGAATGCCACCCCAGATGAGACCGAACTGCAGCACATCGAAGCATTGGGTATCGACCCGTCAAAGACAGAACTTCCCCGAAAAAGCAAGGGCTCAATAAGACATCGTCGAGGATTGACTGTAGGCTCCGGCTCCGCAGACGTTGAGAAAACTCCGGTGGTACCGCACACGAACAAGAAGAGCCTCCAGCCAATAAGGTTGCCGCCATTGAATTTACTTCCTCTCGGAACGCCCTTCAACAATCGAATATCTTCGTTCCCCGTCCCGTCGGCAGAGGTCGACGAACGTAACACTACGCCTCCCCCAAAACGGGCAGCGAATAAGACGCCTAGCACCCCTATGACAGCATCCAAAGCGTCTTTCTTCTTGAAGAGCAACAATTTGGACCATGGTGACACTAACAAACAACTCCGCAGCAGCAGTTCAGCGTACAATCTACGACCGTTGGACGCGTCGCTTCTCGGTGCATCAGCTATGCCCATTCCTACACTCAATCCAACTAGGCAAACGACCACACCTTTCGCGTCGAACTCTTTGCCGAAGGGTAGCGGTGAATTTGCTCGGTTGTATTCACGACCAAATGGTGAATTTAAGCCCGGTGAAACGGACGTGGAAATGCAAGGCATGAGGGTCAACGGTCCCCGCACCCTTGTCAAAAAGGACCCACCTTCCTCGGCGCACACGTCAACTTCGGAGGAGCCTCAGACCCCCTCATCAGGATCATCACTAAGACGGAAACTTAGCTTGGGCGGTTGGCGCCGCAGTTCATCCAAGGCAGCCACGCATGCCTCTCACACCTCCCACGCGCAACAAACCTCGCAGAAGCGCGACGATCAACCACCGCATCCACCTAAACATAGCGAAATGCCCCCACCGAGACTTCCGGCCTCTGCTACGTGGAGTGGTTCTATTGGAACGAGTCCCACTCCTACAAATCGCTCACGGCCATCCTTGGACTTCAGTCGTCGCAAGCCATCTACGGCAACTGTTGCAAGCGACACGGAATTAGAGAGACCTAATGGACACAGGCAAAATGGCAGTATCAGTACCCGCGGATCCACCGAACAATCTAATCTGCAGCAACCAACCTCGAAGACTAGCTCCTCGATCTTGACACCAATGCAACGAATGCTGGGTTCGAAGAGTTCGACAAATGTTCTGAAGGCCCGTAATTTGGATTCGAATCTGGATAGAGACGATCTAGCAGCCGACGAGGAGATGAAGAAACTTGCTTCTAAGAGGAAAGACTTTGAGCACGCAGCGCGAGATGTGGACGAGCTGAGGAAAAGAGCTAGGCCACAAGAGCGAGTGACAGCCTCGCAGGCCCTTCAGATGGTGAACCTCAACATCTTCGAGAGGGGTGAAATCATCGACTACAAGGAGATTTATTTCTGTGGAACGAAAAGCGCCAAGAAACATGTTGGTGATTTGCAGCAACAGACCTTGAACTTTGGATACGATGATGAGCGCGGTGACTACAATATAGTGCTAGGCGACCATCTCGCTTATAGATACGAAGTCGTAGATTTGCTTGGGAAGGGTAGTTTCGGCCAGGTTGTACGTTGCGTGGATCACAAGACGGGGTTGCTTGTGGCAATCAAAATAATCCGGAACAAGAAGCGTTTTCACCAGCAGGCTCTTGTGGAAGTCAACATTCTACAGAAGCTTCGCGAATGGGTAAGTATACCTTTGAGAACAGAGCTGGCACTTCTAACCATAATTCAGGATCCGGACAACAAGCACAGCATGATCAATTTTACCCAAAGCTTTTACTTTCGAGGGCATCTATGCATATCCACGGAGCTCCTGGGTATGAACCTGTATGAGTTCATCAAAGCCCATGAGTTCAAGGGGTTTTCATTACGCCTCATTCGTCGATTCTGCAAGCAGATGCTCAGCTCTCTTGTTCTACTCAAGAGCCACCGGGTTATTCATTGCGACCTGAAACCTGAAAACATTCTACTGGCGCATCCTTTACACTCAGAAATCAAGGTCATCGACTTTGGTTCCAGTTGTTTCGAAAACGAGAAGGTGTACACGTACATTCAATCTCGCTTCTACCGATCACCAGAGGTCATTCTGGGCATGAGCTACGGATTAGCAATTGACATGTGGAGCTTGGGTTGCATACTCGCGGAGCTGCTGACCGGATATCCGATATTTCCTGGCGAAAACGAACAGGAGCAGCTGGCGTGCATCATGGAAATTTTCGGCCCTCCCGAGAAACACTTGATTGAAAAGAGCAGCAGGAAAAAGCTCTTCTTTGATTCTCTAGGGAAACCTCGCGTCACTGTCTCGACCAAAGGCCGAAGGCGGCGACCAAGTTCGAAGACATTGACCCAAGCACTGAAATGCGACGACGAGGCCTTCCTCGACTTCATCTCTCGATGTCTCCGCTGGGACCCAGAACGCCGCATGAAGCCTGACGAAGCTATGCTCCACGAATTCGTAACAGGCGTCAGGAAATCTTCGAGGGTGCGACCCCCCCTTAGCACCAGCGTATCTTCTCCAGTGAAACGCTTTCCTTCCGCACAGACCCCGCAGCAGCGCACTCGGCCGCTACCGGAGCCTCCCATTACGACCGTCAAGACCGCCACGGGAGCGATGTCTAGCCGAGATGTGCCGAACAGCTCACCTGTGAAAGCGGGACCAAGACGCCATTCCACTGTACAGGGAGCGTCGGGCGCAGGTGTTAAACGCACCGCCACGGGAGCCCCGCTGAACGCCGCAAGCAGCCTTCCGCGAGTTGCACAACGGAGCGTCTCGGGGAAGCCTGATCTGGCTTCGGCGGCGGCGATTGCCAGTCTAGTGAGTTTCCTCTATTTCAACTAGAAGTACTAGCTAACATTTCACAGAAGTCTCGGTAGTGGCTGCAAATTGTTTGGTCCAGCATTCGTGCCGTAGAAGGCTAAAAGCATACATTTACAGGGTGGATACAACTAGCCCGGATCTTACGAGGAGCTTTTTCTACTTATCACAGTCTTATTGGGGCCTGTGGCTTTTCGCATTGTTTTTCCCACGACGTTATACCCCGGAACCCTTGTTTCAGCGCCTCATCAGTTCGACGGATCATACAGATTCTGCGGGCATTGGATAGGTGAGCTCATGAATGGCTAGGTAGTTGCTTTCTACCTGTGTGGGCGGTATGCTGCACTAATGTTTTCATCTTTGGGTTTAGGAGGACCTTTCTTATATTGTACGCATGGCAGCGAATGTAGCGGTTGTGCATTATCAGCGTGGCCGCATGTAGAGTTGATGTGCTTTGACACGCCACCAAGGGAAGTAGCCAGGTAGCATACTTCTGTAGAGAAGTAATCGAGAGTTGGCACCATTCTCGTCTCAAACAACCATTCTTCTGTTAAGGCATCAATGCTCATATGTTTACATCTGTCCCGTGAGCAAAGCGAGCGACCTGGACAATGTATATCTCGCCAGTGAGTCGTACTCGTGGGGCAGGTCACCGCTGATCTCTGTACCGATGTTTGGGGGAATAAGCTCAATGGGATAACGATTCAAGAGCGAAGAGACGTCAAGGAACGGGACAGTCTCTTAAATCTGTCTATAGCGACTACAACCTCGAAGTTTGTCACCAGCACACCTGGAACATCGATGGTGCGATGTTAAATGGAGCTAGCGAATCGGTTAGGCGCATCCTCGGTAGTCAGTGCATATAGTATATAAAAAAAAAAAAAGATTACATTTCTATCAAACAGTTCAAGCTTCCTTGGTGTAGTTGGTTATCACGTCGGTCTCATATCGTGTTGTCGCATATGACTTAGCAGAGCTAAGCAATCCGAAGGTCGCCAGTTCGAGTCTGGCAGGGAGCATCATTCTTTTGCCCTCTATCCTCATCTAGGATCCAGTGGCTTCTCACGGAGAGTCCTTTTATCTTTTGTGGAATGAACGAACACTCGTCTACTGAGATAGATGCGCTACTTTACTATCAAGATGTTTTGGAAGCCATTGAATCCCCAGTTCTTCACTCTATCCATATGTTTTTGTCCTTTGGACGCTATATGTCAGCCCCTCCAACTCACAGATTCGCTGTGCAAAAATCTATCCTTCACATTCCTGGTGCGGTACGGCACGCGACTGTTGCGTGCGACTTCGGCACGAAAAGCCTTCCCGTGAACCACCGACTTGGACCCTGAGAACCGGGGGAACGCATGCTGCATGGATGGATCAGCATCTAGACGCCCGAGCTCAAGCTTTTGCTGCACGAAACCCCACCATGCGTTGCCGGCGGCTCTGCGACAGCTTTGTTTTTCCATTTCCCCTTGGGGCGGGAATCCCTTTAGTCCTCCGACTACCTAAACGGTTTACTAATGTTAGCTACAAGTGCCCGCCTTCTAGCTGTAATCGAACATCACTCACTATTTCCCCGGTCGCTCTCAAGACCCTGGTGACGGACATGTGGCCCGATGCCGGCCTAGATGTCTTTCTAATGTAAAACGTTTCTGTGGTACCTTTGGCCCAGGTATTGTAGCCTTCTCAACCTTCACGGCCGCGGACCCGACGCGGTAACAATTAATCATCGCCTGATCTTTCCTTTGCACTTTCTAAATCGCCGCTTCACTGCTCTTGCTGCGTCAGCTCCCTGGAAGTCCGCATTGTTCAATAACTCTGCAACAACGCATCCCCGCCTCCGTTCGACATTTGGAGGCAACGCTGCACCAACGCTTCTTCCGCCTCGTGCCGCCACATTAAATTTCGACACCAATCCCACTTTCTCTCTGTCTTGACCCAAATTACTGGTCTGCGACTGTTCAACTCTACACGTATTTCGACCCGCACCGCAGCGGGTGGCGGAGTTCCTCCTCTTTGTTGCACCAACCCAGAGGCTTAAATTGCCATCACGCGACAGTTCGCCTAGTCACTGGCATCAGCCTTTACAAATATCACTCAGTCTACAAGCCTTGAAATCCGACACATTCTGCATCTACAACTTTCAGACTTTGGTAACATTGCTCTGCTCGAATCACGATGCTTCCACCACTCCCTCGCCTTAGCGACTATGATATCTCCCCTCACAATGGTTTCCTTCCAGCCGAAGTACCACTAGAGATACTACCCGCCCCATACTACAAGCCTTGGGAAACAGTGGCTCGAAATTTGCAAAGCCTTATCCTGAGCAAGAGGCTGCGGCAGATAGTAGACGCTCTCCCGATCCTGTCGACCGATCTGCTCTTGACAGAGCCAGAGTGGAGGAGGGCATACTCTCTTCTGGGTTTCATCGCTCATGCGTACATTTGGGGAGGAGCTACCCCATCCGACGTAAGCCTTCCCTACCCGGACTAAACAAAAGCGAAGCTAAACTAACTTCCTCATCCAGACCGTCCCGCCGTCTGTATCCATACCTTTCCTCCAAACATGTCAGCACCTCGAGCTTCCGGCTGTGGCTACCTACGCAGGAGTCGTCCTGTGGAACTGGAGGCCCCTCTTTACGGGTGAAGCGATCGATTCATTGGACAATCTGTCGACTCTCATGACCTTCACCGGATCACTAGACGAATCATGGTTCTACCTCGTCTCCACAGCCATTGAAGCGACAGCCGGACCCATAATACCCATGATGGTAGAAGCGATCGGTGCAGCAAGATGCAAAGATAGCGCAACTGTTACGGAATGCCTACGCTCATTCGCAGAGAGGTTGGACGACCTTGGGGCGCTTCTCGAACGGATGTACGAGAGCTGCGATCCCCATGTCTTCTATCACCGCATTCGACCTTTCCTGGCAGGTAGCAAGAATATGGCCAGTGCTGGCCTGCCAAATGGAGTCATGTTTGACGACAATACCGGAACTCAGCCCTATGTTCAGTTTAGCGGTGGCAGCAATGCACAGAGCTCTGTCATCCAATTCTTCGACATCGTACTTGGGGTTGAACATCGCCCGACCGGCGAAAAGCGTGCCGACTCCTCGGATTCTGAAGGCCCAGTACCTGCGCCGACGCACAATTTCATCGTCGAGATGCGAAAGTACATGCCAGGACCGCATCGACGATTCCTCGAGCACATGGAGAGTATTGCCAACATCCGGGAGTACGTGGCTGGAAACCGCAAGAACAGGGCGTTGGTGATTGCGTTTGATGCTGCGTTGGCAATGCTGCGCGCTCTTCGAGACAAACACATCCAGATGGTCTCCAGGTACATCATCGTCAAATCACGCGAGTCACGCTCAAACTCCCGGTCTTTGAGCCCTAAGCAGGCTGCTGGTCAGGTTATGAACATCGCGAATGCTCTTCACCGAGGGGACAGCAGGAAGCTTCGAGGGACAGGCGGTACCGCGTTGATATCGTTCTTGAAGCAAGCTCGTGATGAGACTGGTGAACCAGCGATCGATGCTTGGGCACGTCGTCTGCTGAATAATGGACCTGCGGCCTTCAATGATGGTGTTGCGCGACTCGGGAAGATGAACGAGCACCTCGACGGAGAGGTTGAAATCGTTGGCCTAGCCGGAACGTGGTCTGTCGATGACAGCGAAGGCGGCGTAAGTATACCCATGGAAGCTTCTTCGTTCGTGCTAACAGCTCCACAGATATGCCACTGGTAGCCGAGACGAAGGTGGTTTGCATGTTTCCCTGTACAATGTTGGTCAGACTGGGGTGGGGCATCTTCACTCAGCAGTCTCAGCAGCTCAAAGAAAGTAGAGAAATGGCGTCATAGCCCGCGACATTATACCACGATAGCACGATTATGAAAAGTTTCGTCCTAATGCGGGTCAGTTGACCGAGCCGAGACTTCTTTCACGGCCTAAATCGAGATCCGTGCGCGCGTGCATGAACTGGTTGGGCTGACTGCGCGTACGCCTGCTGTGAAGGAGCTGTTGGTCGTGAATGAACATGCCACAGGAAGCTCTCATTCGGTTGATGTACACACTCTGCGGAGCAGGGCATGGAATGAGCTAGGCTGACGAAGGCTTTTGGCCAGTTCACCATGCTCTGGGTTGACGGATATGGATGGCTTTGCATCGGATTGTCTGTGAATCTGTGTTGGGCATTCACGACCCATGCCCCGCGCCGCGTGCGTCAACCGCGAGGCTGCAGCCACGTATGACATCACCAACTCACATGCGAACACGGCCCCTGCCCCTCCTTGCAGAAAACACATATAAACACACCCAGGGTCCGACTCTGCACATCCCCCACAACGCCCTTGAAGCACCTACGAGCAAACACACGGCTACAGAACACACATTCTCGACTCGACTCTACTTTTTTCTACCACAAATACTTTCAATCAGCACCATGTCTGGCGGCCCAGACTCCACCGGCCAGTCCCTCCTGGACCAGGCCAAGGGTGCCGCGCAGTCCGTTGTTGCCTCTATCACTGGCAACCCTACCGACCAGGTACGCTCTTGTCTTCAACCCTCTAGCAACCTCTCTATTCTAACATTGCACCAGGCCGAGGCCAAGCAAACCAAGGACGAGGCGGCCGTTGAGAAGGACCTCTCTCACTCCGCAGCTAAAGTAGGACCCCTTACAGCCACGCCATCCGGTGTTGCCCAGGACGACCCGAAACGCACCGATGGCGCATGGAACCAGAACGTTGGTGCCCTCAAGGACAGCGTCGGCGGATTCGTTGGCGTGACGGGACTACAGGAGGAGGGCCGACGGCAGAACGCAGCGGGCAAAAATGAGGAAGCCGAAGGCCAGGTTACGGATCTCGGTAAGGGCATCGGCGACCGCGTTGGCGGTACCATCGGCGGGGCCGTTGCAGGTCTGACGGGCAACGCTGCGCAAAAGGAGGAGGCGCAGAAGCAGCACGACGACGGCAAGGCGAGGCAGCGTGGCGTCGAGACTGATCTGCAGAACAAGCAGTAGGCGCTCGCTATCTAGCATGCACATGGAGGATGGTAGCCGGTGAATGGGCGATGGATGATGGGCGTTTGGCTTGGCTACGGAGGATTACCCATTGCATTAGCACGGAATTCGTAATTGGCGACCTGAGTTTATGAAATGGATGTATCAGTACAAAGCGATTCAATGAAGCATACCAGCTTGAAGTAGCTACGAGCAACATTGCGTGGAGTTGACCGAACAAAGTACTACTGGTGAACTTTCTGCAGCTTTTACTCTCCACTCTTCACTTGCTACTGAAAGCCAGGAAGAGGTGGTGTGGTCAGCTCTCCCTGAAGACACCACCTCAATCCCTCATCTCCTTCGTAACCGCCCTCGCCCGGCCAAGCGTATAGCCGGCTAGAGACTTCTAATATTGGGAGCCTCCGCTACCAAGCTTGTTCAGGTGGCCGTAAACCTTTTCGTGATCTAGACTCATTGCTATCCAAGCGTACGCAGCCGCCACAGAGTGTGGCGTCATATCACAAAGCACAAAGCAGTTTGCCGATAGCCGAAAAGTTGGAAGGGCAATTACATGCAACGTCGTCACGCGCGTGTGCGGACGCAGGACCGGGCGAAGTGACGAATTGTACAAGGCCCTGGGCCAAGTTCCAAGCTGCATCATGTGGTGTGACCTTGAAATTGGCCCAAGTGGACATGTGGAAAGTGAGTAAACTTGGCACTGGCGCGTTTTGGCTGTGCTGTGTGGCTGGCACTGGCTGCTCGGCTGGTGATCCCTGCCGCCGTTCACTGGGGTAAATAGCGGCAGTAACTGCTACGTCATGCGAGGACAAACCCGCGCCTTCCATAAATACCTCGCTCCCTCTGTCTTTCGACGAGCCACACCATCGACCAACTACCCACAACAGATTGTCCAAGACAGCCGTTCGATACGCAACAAAGACCAGCCCCGAACATTGAGTAATACACGCACTCCAACATGCCTTTCACCGCCAGGTTCGTTCTCGCTCCGCGCTTACTGCATACGCGAA